AGAACCCTAGAAACAAACTGCAAATCACTACTCTGGCCTATCAAATGTAGCCTGGTAAATCACTAATGTTTTTTAGACTCTTTTGAAGATGCCACATGCAAATCTTTTGGCTATTTGCTTGTAGATTTAAGGTCTACAACCCTTAAAGAGTACCTCTTAAGAACTGGTCTCTTCCTGGCCTACCTACCATCAGCCTATATTTAAAACAAACAGCACTCTTAAAGGCGATAGCATGTCATTAACAGGTCATTCCCTGCCGACTCTCACAACCTGTAAGGATGTCTATGTATATATATTGCAATTGGTTGACTTTACAAAGTCTAATAAGTGCATCACCATCACAGAAAAAAATATATTTCATGCTCTGCGTCTCATGATTTAGTCACTGCTATATATGAAATAGTTATTAAAGGGACACTATAGACACCAAGATCACTTAAGCTCATTGAAGTGGTCTAGGTGCGTAGCACCAAGTCCCGTAACCCTGCAAAGGTAATTATTGCAGTTTTTAATAAACTGCAATAATTAACTTTGAGGGTTAACTCCATCTCTATTGCTTTTCTATGCGTATTTGGCCCTTGCTTTCAACAACTTTGTTTTCCTGACACTATAGTTTCGCCTTAATACCTCTAAAGGTAAGATATCTTTATCACCAAAAAATATCTTTTAGTAAGTAAAAGAAGTTGGTTAACAGTCTGGAGGTTTTATTGCCTCTCTGTTGGGGTTTGCTAGACCTCTGCTGACTTGTCTTTTAAATAACCATTAATGGCGTACCCTGAGAAAAAGTATTTTTGAGATCTGAGTCTGCCTTATGAAAAATATCCCAGCCGTGAGGTAATTTACGCAGCACAACATTGTGACTCTGAGTAACACCACAGACCAAGTTGAGTATATTTGATCCCAGTACAGCAATGTTTTTGTAAACGCATTCATCCTTATAGTTCCAAGCGGTAATATGCTTGAATTGAGACTTTCTACTAGACAACAATTCAGCAATTTGCAATTTATAGCAGACTTTTACATTATTAATCACTTCACAAAATAAAGTGTCTGAAACATCAGAGACTTCAGCAGCATTAGAATGTGCATTAGGGGGTTTTGGTATGGTGGATTCTCCAGGAGGAGAAGTGTCAACCCGATCTTTTTGCTTTCACTCAGTTTAGCATATACAAAGTATTTCTGCAATATATACCTCTTTATTATCTCATCATCCGATATATTTCTATTTTTGAAGGATTGACACCCCCACTCACCGCCACAGGCTGCTCACTGTTTAGCAGACATGCCCCTACTCACTGTATAGCGAGTAGGGGCATTCGGGAGATTTTATTCTCCCTTATGCTATTATGGGGGTCATATTGACCCCCATAGAGTGAGGGAGGACATGGGGGGCTTAGGAAACCGGTTCTATCTTTACATATTACAAGGAGGGAGCTGCTCGCCAGTAGCTCCCTCTTTGTAATAAACTGAACGAACAAACACGGATATTCAGTGTTTGTTTGGTCATCTGACATTTCTATTCATTCATTCATTCATCTTTTGACGAATGAATGAATGGATGAAATTACCGTTCGCATGCCCAGGGGTTTAACTGGAAA